GCCTGAGGCCCAACACGAGGGGAGCAGGCCTTGGGCCTGAAGTGGTTGCATGTGCCCAACTGCTTTCAGCCTGTGTTTGGCCCGGTACTCGTATCTAGCCCAGGGCCTGCTTCACGTACATTCACAAATGCGGCCCAGGGCCTGGGTTCACTCAACCAACTGGCGCTGCGCAACTGCCTGAATTTCCTTGAGTTGCGTGGTGGCCAGAAAAGGGCCCTGAGGGCCTCGTCAAGCCTGCATTCACTTAGGGCGGCCGACGGGCTGCAAAAATGTGGCCTGATGGGGCTCATAGAGGCACTGGCCTCGCATTCCCTCCTTAGCTTCAACAGTCCTCTGAGAAGCTCAATCTTCGATCATAGGGCGCTTTCCCTTCTGCAACGATCTCTCGTATTGAGTTACAACTTGAGGAGCGGTCTGCATGAGCTCTTCCCTGGTGAACCAGCGGTCCTCCTTCGGATCAGTGTGGTGCCGGAACTGAACGCGGTACTGCAGCTTCGGTTTCGGAGGACGTCCCCTTCCTACAGGTCTCTGAGCTGGCAGCTCCCTGTGATCCACGATGTCGTCAATGTCTACTTCTCCATCCATGGTTGGGGGCAGTATTGAGCGACGAGAAGGAAACTCATCTGTTTCCTTGAAAGGTGCAAGTTTGGAGGCGTGAAAGACAGGGTAAGTTCGAAGATGACCAGGGATCCGGATAACATAAGATGGGCCATCCGGATCTGTCCCAACGATGTCTAAGACCTTCCATGGTCCAAAGTACTTTGGCATGAGCTTGCGGGAGATCCCGTGCTCTTGTCCCAGTTCTGAGGACTTAACCCAGACTCTGTCCCCAACCTGAAATCAAGACTTACGGCGGTGTTTGTTCGCAGATTCAATCATAGCCGCCTGTGCCTTTTGCATCTGTTCTACCACCTGCTGCATTTTTTGTTCATATCTGTTGGCAAACTCTAAAGTACCCGGTGCAGCAGTTGATTGATTCTTAGGAAGGAGAAAGTCAAGGGGTAGTCTAGGCTGGAAAGTCAGTAGTAAACTGTTCGGGCTCACCCCAGTGGCGCTGTGTACAACATTGTTGTACAGGCTGGCGATGAGAGCAAGTTTCTCATCCCTGTCGACTTGATTGGGCTTAATATAGTGCCTCAACAAGTGCTGCACAGCGCGATTGAGTTGTTCAGCCTGTCCATTGGCCTCTGGGTGATTCCCAGAAGTCATTTGCAACCGAGTTCCCTGCTCTGCTGCAGCGACCTTCCGCAACTCACTGGTGAACCGAACATCCCGGTCACTGACAATAGACTTCGGTAAACCAAAGTCTCTAACCCAATTTTCTTTGAACATTCGAATCACGTACTCCGTCTTTGTTGTTTCCGGCATGGCTACTAATCTAGCATACTTACTAAATCTATCCACGATGACGAAGATGTGACGCATCCTTGCTGGTGATCAGAGTATCCATGAAATCCATGGACAGACTCTCACCAGGCCGTTCCGGAATCGGAAGGGGCTTTAGAAGCCCAGGAGGAGCCTGAGTACGTGGCTTGTCCCGTTGGCAAACTTGACAAGTCTCCACGTACAGCTGAGCATCTCGCATCATCGTGGGCCACCAGAACCGCTGCAGCAAGTTTGTTGCGGTCTTCTTATACCCAAAATGGCCGGTGGCATCATGACACTCGCCTAAAAACAAACTACGCAAAGACTCGCTATTTGGAACACACAAGCGTTTATTCCCTGCCTTCTTTAGGAACAGCAAGCCATTGACCAACTCAAACTCGGCGGAGGTCTTTTTATCCTTCGCCTCAAGTCTGCGTATGATCTCAGACATAAACTGGTCCTCGCGATAGGCTTCCACCAAAGACTGAGTAACATTGTCCGTCAGATCGAACTCAGTAATCAGCGCACCTGAGAAGTTCGGTCTGCGTGACAAGGCATCAGCAACCTTGTTGTACTCCCCTTTGAGATACTGAGGGTCCAAGTCATATTGCTCAATGACTTCGATCCAACGCTTGAGAGCGTCAGAGAGTACCGACTGGGTTCTCATCCATCTCAAAGTGTGATGATCAGTCCTGAGGATGAAGAACCTCCCAAGGAGATAGTGTCTCCAATGGGTGAGAGCCTTGTACATCGCATATAGTTCCTTCTCATAAGTGGACTTAGCCAACTTCTGAGACGGCATTTTCTTGGACATGTACTCAACAGGCCTCAACTTTGGCCCCTCCCGCTGTGCGAGAACAGTGCCAATGCCATATTGGCTGGCATCCGTGGTGACTATGAACGGCTTGTCAGGATCAGGAAGTTTCAAGACTTCATAGTGTGTCAACGCATGCTTCAGATGTCTGAAAGCAGCCTCGCACTTATCTGTCCACTCCCATGGGGTGTCAATGGGGGTCAGATCAGTGAAAGGAGCGGCCACTATGCTATAGTTCTTAACGAAAGTCCTATAGTAGCCTGTCATTCCTAAGAAAGATCTTATCTCAGTCACAGACTGAGGACGTGGCCAATCACGAATGCTGGCCACCTTCGCGTCATCGGGCTTCAACCCTTCCGCGGAGATCTCATGACCCAAGTACAAGACACGGGTGCGCCCAAACTCGCACTTCTCACCGTTGATCTTGAACTTGTGTTGTCGCAGGAGACTAAGGACTTTGTCCAGATGTGCAACATGCTCCTCGTCAGTCTTACTAAAAATAAGTATGTCATTGAGGTACACGATGACAAACTTATCCAAGTAGTCATGGAATATCCGATTCATAGAGTGCTGAAAGGTGCCAGGAGCATTGCAAAGGCCGAAAGGCATCACCACAAACTCGTACAGACCGTACCTGGTCTGAAAAGCGGTTTTGTGTTGATCCTCGGGCCGGATTGCAATCTGATGGTACCCGGACTTCAAATCTATCTTGCTGAAGTACCGGCACCCTTGCACTCTATCTAACAGATCATCGATGCGCGGTAGGGGCTCTCGGTTCTTTACAGTGATGGCATTGAGGCCCCTATAGTCAATGCACATCCTAAGTGCACCCTCCTTCTTAGGTACGAATAACATTGGAGACCCATAAGGAGAGACACTCGGTCGGATCCAACCTTTCTCTACGAGTTCCTTGAGTTGGCAGCGGAGCTCATCAACCTCGCCTGGAGACATCCGATTGATCCTACCCTTCGGAGTACTAGACCCTGGGATAATCTCTATCGCGTGGACGACCTCCCTCTCAACAACCCCTGTCGGCTCTTCAAATAGATCAAGGTACTTGGCGACAACTCCCTCTATCTCCGGCGACATTTTCACCGGCTCGCCTGCAACAGAGACATAAACTAAGTACATACCCTCCTTGTGATTTTGCTTATAATAATTGTAGAACGCGGCCGCACACATGCACCCGTAGGACTCAATCGGACTACTAGCTTTGAACTTGTGTATTCTCGCGGTCCCTCCACCTAGCAAAGTGTGTTTGACCACTTTTCGGTCCCAGTCAAACTGGGGCTGTGCCACAGAGAGGTAGCACATACCTAACAACATATCCATGGGGAGTTTGTCGCTTACTAGGAATGAGACACGATATCTCAAGTCCCCTACCGTGTACGGGAAAACACACTCCACATTTTGGAGGTAGTCATTGACAACCATGCGCTGTTTGTTGGCACAGGTCGACTCCAAAGGTCGACTCAGGCATTGCACTTGCCCCTGTAAACGCAGCCTCTCAACGCACGCACGACTAATAAAGTTCCTAGTCGAGCAAGTGTCATAATAGGCCCCGGCCTTGTGGCCGCCAATGACAACCTCGCTGACGAACATCTCACCCTTAGGGGCTTTGACTAAGGCCGTCCAAGAAGCTAGCGGGTCTGATCTAGACCACTCTACCTCTAGCTCCTCTAAGGACTCAAACACATTCATCGAGTAGAGGCTCGATGGGTCTGAATGTGTGTGCGGGACGACGCTGGAGTCAGTAGCTTGGGCCATCTCTCGAGATGGTGAGGGTGTCTCCACCACCTCGACCGTAGCAGGAACAACTACTATTCCTACTG